AAAAGACACTCTTCAGAAGCCACATCTCCTCCCCTGGAGATGCAGCTGCCCATATCTAAATCAGTAGGGAGTGTCCAGTTAACAGGCTGTGAGCACTACTCTACTGCACTTACAAAAATCAATTGCAGATCTAAATGTGGGAGGTAAGCAATAATGCTTTTGGGAGAAAATATGGACTAGTATCTTCATGACCTTGAGGTAGGCAAAGATTTCTTAAACAGGGCATAAAAAATGCTAGCCATTAATGAAAAAAAACCTGATCAGTTGTACTACATTAAAACAAGGGCTTTTGTTAATTAGAAGTTAGGAGAGTTAAAAGGCAAGACAGAATGGAAAAAATATCTTCAATATAAATATCCACCACCAACAAAAGACTCCTATGACTTGTATCCAGACTATATAAAGAACAACAAATCAACAAGAAATAGGTAGACAGTGCAATAGATATAGTTGGATATAGGATAGCCAACAGATAAGTGAAAAGGCACTTGACTTCCTTAGTTTTCATGGAGACATAAAAAGAAAACTAAATGGCCAAAATGAAAAAGATAATATCAAGTATTAGTGAGACTGTGGACTGACTGGAACTCTCATATACTGTCAGTGGGAGTGTAAATTGGCATTACCACTCTGGAAAACTCCTTGACAATTTATCTTCCAAACCTAAACATATGTCTACCATATAATCTAATAATTCTATTCACAGGTATACATAACAGAAATGCATACTTATATTAACCAAAGACACAAGAGTGATTAGAAGCATTTCTGATTGTAGCTCCAAACTAGAAATAACCCAGATGTCCGTAAGCAGAATGTAAACAAATTGTAATATATGTATATGATAGAATACTATACATCAGTAAAAAGGAATAACCATACAACTTGGATGAACGTCTCAAACATAACACTGAGTAAAAGAGCCTAGACATGAATGATTACATTACTGGTTTAAGTTAATGAATATCATTTATATAAAGTTCAAAACCAGGCAAAACCAATTTAGATATTAGAAATCAGGAAAATGGTTTTTCATTTGCTTGGGAGGTAATTTGTGACTAGTAGGTGTAATGTAAAGACTTCTAGTTTGGCATTGTTCAATTTCATGATCTAGGGGATTATTCCACAGGTTTATTCACTTTGTGACAATACATTGAATTATGCATGTAGAATTTATGCATTTTTATACTTCATTAGAAAATTTACACTAAAAGGCTAGGGAATCATCAGGTTGCCCATTTAAGAACAATTACTCAGTAATTTTTTTTTTATCAGTGCTGCTAGAAATACATGCAGAAGGGTAGATTTGGGAATACTGGGTAATTTACCCTGGTAACTCCAGTTTTGCCCCTGGTGGATCCTAATACACATATAACCATGATTTACACACTTGCAAGGTAGATGGCTATTTTCTTAGTTTATTATTGCATACATTATCATTTGTAGCACAGAGTCTTCCTCTCTTGACATACCAACAGCATGTTGCTTGGACACTTGTACTTCCTTCGTTCTCCTTTGTGGACACTTGGCTGCACAACTTCTCAAAACAAATACATAGGAGGCTTCTTGAGTGCAGGAGACATTGCTGTATTTTCTTTCTGGTGGTCTTTCTGTTCTCAGCACACATCTTTACACATAATGGGATCAAATCTCAGTTAATGCTTGTTTTATATTGGGGCTAGGGAGTACTTACATTTTTGCTGAGCCATTTTTATTTGGAGCCATCCAAATAAAGAGAAGGTTTGAATTCTCCTCATCATTTGAAAATGCATACATCTAGGGAGGAAGCATGGGGAGGGATTATGGGAGTGCTGGTAACGTCCTGGTTCTTGATCTTGATCTGGGTAGGAGTCATACAAGTGTACTCATGTTGCTATAACTTGCCATGGTACACTTACTATTTTTTTGTACTTTATTATTGTATGTAACATATCTGTACATAATATATAGTTCTAGTTTGATAAGACACTGTTGATGAAAGTGTGGAGTCATGCTCACATATTGCTTGTAGGAATTTAAGTTCATACAATCTCCTTGGGAGAAAATATGGCCAAATTATCAAAATGAAAAGGCATTTGGCTGAGTGATGGTGAGTCTGGAAATGGACTCTAGTCTATTACATATAACATGTGAAAACTGTTATACATTCAAAGTCATTCACTGCAGTGTTGCCTATTATAACAAAATTGGAAAAAACAGAAGAAAGAACAAAGAAATTGTTGTTCCTCACACAACAGAATATTCAGCAGTTATTAAGAGGGAGGTGGATATGTATCTACTGATTTGGAAGGACCTGCAGGTTGAAAAGTATGTTTGTGTTAAGTATATGTGTATATATTTGCTTGTATGTTTATAGAATATCTCTAGAAGAATACAGAAGAAACTGATAAGAGTGGTTGCTTTGGAGAGAGGCAGGATGAAAGGAAATTTTTCACTATATATTCTGCATGATGCACATTTCAAATTGTATATGTAGGTATAACCTATTCAAGAAATAAATTAAATGTAAAACTGATTTCTTTGCTACTGTCTTGTTTTCACTCTCATTTAGGGACTTTCTAAACATTCTATAATTGGTAAGTTTGCCTTTACTGTGTTCTAACAGCCTCCAAATCTATTTCATGGAACAAAGGTCAGACTCATCTTCCATGACATTGAGCAAAGCAGGCAGGTCACTCTTCTGCTGGTGAACTTATTAATTGAGTTTAGACCTCCAATGAATTCCAACAGATTTTTTCAAATCAAACATTCAAAGCCTCTTTGCCCCCTCTAGTTCCCTTCCTCCCAGAAAGCAGGAAGAGAGTGAAAGGCAAGTGTGCATTTATCTTTAGTCTGATTTGCGAGTGCCATAAACTGGTTGTCAAACTGAAGTAGAGGGAACCTTGGAGGATGTGATTTGACAGCAAAAGAAGGGAATAAGTAAGTTCATTATAACATGTGCCCTAGATTTATAACAAGCAGATCTCAAGAAGTAGGTCCTTATCTTGATGTCCTGATTGATAATCCAGAGTTTGGAGGTACTCAAAAGAAACATATAACAATATAATGAGTCCTTTGAAGAAACAACAAGGGGCTCTAAAGAAACCAAGCCAGCTTCCAAATCACCTGTGGCCCTCTGCAAAAGATGGACGGGAGGCTCAGGCCAGGGGAGGTGGTATGGGCACATGTTGAGGATATGGAAGAATGTTGAAATTCAGACTTGCAAAGTTCTGGCGTGTCTACTCTCCACCTGTCTCCTTAAAAGCCTGGATTTTGGAACCAGAGCACCTGGACTCAATCAAAGCTCTGTGCCTTGGTAGCTGCATGACTTTGGGGGAAGTTAACTTTTTCATGCTTCAGTTTTCTCATCTGACAGACGGGGATAATACCAATACCAATACCTACCTGGTATGGCTGTTCCTGGGATTATAAAGCACTTGAAAGAGGGCCTGGTATGTAGCAGGTGTTATATAAATGCCAGCCATAATATTAATGGGTATTATTATTTATGATTTCTACCTCAGGAAGAATCATTTTTAAGTGGAGAAAAGCAGAACCAACATGGGAGGCATCTTCATAGTAACACTTGCTTGATTATGTGTACCACCCTAGGTCTAATGTAAGAAATCACTTTGTCATTAAAAAGAGCTGTCCAACAACTCCTGACTAGTGATGAGGTAGGAACTCTCACGCGTGGATTCAAGCCCAGGTGCATAACCTGCTAAGAGGATGCTGAAGGCAGATTGCTGCTGGAATGCAGGCAGGGCCTAGATGACCTTTAGGGGTCTGATTATGATTCTGCTACCTTTGAAACTAGCAGCCCTGGGGGTAGTCACATTGCCTGGCCTCCAGACATGGCTTAAACCTTGGAAGTGACGAGCAAGTCTGAATTTTCCGTTGCTGTAAGAGGACAAGCTCCGGTGGCACAGAGAAGACTTCCAAAACCTCAAGTCCGAGAGGACTTTGAATTTATCTGCGGACCGTAGCATACCTGCGAACGCCAACACAGGGGAAACATATTCTTAGCTTTGCTAAGAAACAAGGTCAGGCCCACAACAAACTCTCTAGCCAGTGGATACTTTATCCCTAAAAGAGCCGAAATCTCTTCGGGGTAGGGGGTAGATACCTCAGTTAGCATTGTTCCTAACCTAGTAAGTTAACAATGAAGGGCCAGAACGCCCTCGGCAGAGCTGCCAGGTGGGGCGGGGCCGGCGGGAGGTCCTCTCGGCCAGCCACCGCTGCCTCCCTCGGCGGGGCACTTCCTTGGGCCTTTGATCTTTACCCACGAGCTGGCGAGGGCTGCGTTTCCCTCTAAATTTATTCACAGTTAGTTTATTTATTGAATCTGCTTTCTCTTAACGCTGGCCTGAAGATCAGCACGCCAGCGTGCAAAGGGGCCTGAGTCCCGGCGTCTCCCTTTCGCAGCACCACAGTAAAGCCTGGCAAAAGGTGCATTTTCCTGAGTCCTCGGGCAACAAATCCGAGGGAGAAGGGGCCTTTCCCGGCTAGGGAGCCGACCCGGGAACCCGGATCCTGGGATCAGTGACGAGGTCCCCGCGCCCGCCCCACCCGAGCCTCGCTGCGCGCGCGCCCTCCCAAGCGGTTCTCCGTCCGCCAGGGGGCTGGAGCCCACGTCCCTCTCCCCGAAGCCAGGCTGAACCTGGAATTCCGTCTGCCACTGGGGGATGGCGGGGCGGGGGGACGTAGTGTCTCAAGTTGCCTTCCTCCGCGCGGAGGGGACCTCGCTACCCCCACCCGGCCCTAATCTCCACCCGGCGTCTCCAACCGAGTGGCGGAGCCTCAAGTCTCCATCTGCGCGCCTTAAGTCCCAGTTATCTTCTTAGAGCCCCGCCGGCCCCGCCCCCTCTTTCTCTTAACCTCCCCCGCTTGCAAATTACAGACGCTCCCCCGACCCCCAAGTGCGCAGGACAGAGCAGCGCAGCCTTTGGAGGTGCTGGTAAAGTCCCCAAGCTAGGTGTAAGCGACCTAGAGGCGCGCGGCTGGAGGACGGTACAGCCAGGGTATAGGCGCCGCAAGATTTCGGGGTCAGGACGAGGGCAGAGGGTCCTGGACTCACAATCACCTAACTCACCCCTGCGTCTCTAGGGGTTGAAATCGGCCTCTCGTAGCGCCCTGATCTAGGTCACCAGCTGGGGGTCGCTAGGGGGATGATGGGCGGGCCGTCTGCCCCAGAGGTGGGCGCAGAGTAAATCGCCTCAAAGCCTGCCCCTTTCCCTTCCACTCTATCGTAATTCCGTCCCGCGGCGGGTCGAGCCTCCCTCCCTCGCGCGCGGCCAGCGGGTCCCTCCCTGTCGGCTTCCTCCGCCGCGCCCGCCCCCCCAGCGAAAAGCCCTGCGGCTCACAGCCGGCTGCACTCCCGCACGCCGACCTCCCGGCTGCTGCTTCGCTTCCTCAGACTTCTCCATAGTTCCCGGTGCAGCTCCCTCAGCCTCCCACCTCCTCACCCGGGTGCGTCAGGAGATCCGCGGTCGCCGCGGCCGGCACATCCCCCAGGAGACACCCTTTCCCTGCGCGCCCGGGACTTTGTGAAACTTTGAGGGCGCCCGCGGTGAAATGGGTTTAATCCGAGGCGTCTTGCTCCGGCTGTTGCTGCTTTCCAGCCTCGGATCTGACGCTGTGCTGCTGGGAGAAGCTCTCGGCAAACCAGGTAATGCGCTCAGCGCGCCCGGGGGCACCACGCCCGGAACGCCCGCGTCTGGGGCCCGGGCGTAGACGCCCAGCGGGCAGCGCACCTCCTCTCTCTCCCCTGGCCAGCGTCAGCTTAACTGGATTCATTTCTGCCCGGAGCTGACGCGAACCTCGCCCTTCCCCCAAGCCCAGGCTGTTCCAGGAATATTTGTTTGTTGAAAGAATGATGTGTTTTGCAGACACAAAAAGAGGTGTGTAGAGGTGGAGGGCTCTGTATTTGACCGGAGATGTGAGCGTTGGGGCAGCGATCATGCTGTCTCAATTAAAGAGGATTGCAACTGTGCGAGAGAAGTCAAACAGCTCCTCCTGTGTCTCTAAACATTTTGCTGAATTCATATTGTCCAGAGCCCAGGCATTTCCTGTTAAGTGTCTGAGTCCCCTGTGCCCAGCTCTGGTCCTGCCCACGCACTATGTAGGGACGTGTCCTCTGCTGGTCAGATCCTCTTCCACTCGGGGGCCGTTTTCTCAGAAAGGAACGCCCGATGGATTAGTTATACCGTGTTTTGAACTCCTGTCTTTGCGATTTAAGCAAAGATGTTATAGGAGGTAGTTGTAGGCTATTACAAAGATCTGGAGAGAATGTGAAACACAGTAACTTGCATTTTTTTCTGGTTATACAGGTAAAAAGTTTTCGTGTATTTTTGTTTACTTTGGACCTGTGTTGTGAAGATTGTTCAATGTAGAACATGATAAACAATGAAGTTCTAAACACTTTCCCAAATAACGGTTTTTATTTTTTGCTGAGACTCTATTTATAATTCTGAAAAATCTGTTTTTCCTTAGTTTACTTTGTAAGCGAGATTGTCTTATGGGATTAATTACATTTTAGGAACAATGGAAACCAATATAACTTTATTTGAATGCAGTTTGCAAAACTTTACAGCAATCACAATTTGTCTTCACATACAGTGTTTCTATAAGAAAGAGACAAGCCAAGGGGAATTTATCAGAGGGGAGAAGAAAATAATCTTGGCAAGGTCCTGTATGCCTTCTAAAATATTTTCACTGCTCAAGGATCGCTCCACTTGGAAATATGACTCATTTGCCGTTTAACTCTGGGAGATACCTTCAGTCTTCAAGCTGTATCTGTTATCACCTGTGCCTTGCTACCTGCCTTGAAATTTAAGTCAATATCATAACCTACAGCACACTTACATTATGAGCTATTGTTTCCACTGTTGAATTCATTTAGAGGTAATAGCAATAGTCCAAGGTAATGTTGTATTGAATTATTTTGCTTCCTGCATGCACACATACACACATCTTCAAGGATCGCAATGAAGGGCTTCTAACTTTCCTCCTTAAGATAACCACATGATGATCAGTTGCATTCTGTGGGTGTATTCACATAAAACCATCTAGTCACAATTTTGGAACAATGCATAACAGTTCTTAAGCATGAGCAGTGTATGTAATATTCTTTTAAAGATATATTTCAATGCATTTAAACAGAAATTTAAAAAAAGTATTTTACAAAAGCCTGCTGTATAAAACTGCTTGTGTGATCCATCATATTTCTGTTCTTTTTTGTAGTTCCTCTCCAAAAAACATTTTCTACCTGGTTCATCCAGGGTCTCATTCTGATATTCATGTGATGAATATGCCATGTTGGCCTCTTTGTTTTTATTTGAAGCACAGATAAGGTTTTGAGAATGGAAATTCTACCTTTGAAATATTTTGGCATATTAAATACATAAAATTTGAGGTAGAAGGAGGGTTTGGACTAGGTTCAGCCTAGACGAGATTTTCATTACTTTATAATTTTATCCAGACACTGGCTTTCATGTTGGAAAGCTGCTCAGATTAAAATGATAGCTACTTCAGAAACTTTAGGGGAAAATTTCCTCCTGGGCTCATTTACATCTCTTGGAAAGACTAGTTTTTGATCCGGAAAATTGGTCCAGATTAAGAACTGAATGTGCCCTGCTTGGCTGTGATGTGAACAGCAACCAGCTAATTTACAATCTTCTCCAGACACCAGCAAATCCTGCTAGTATTCATATGGGAGTTTCTTCGTACCTTGTTTCCTCAATAGAAATTGTTTTTTGTGCACTGCTTTGAAAGCTTGGTGGCCACCAAGTGGGCCTACCGGAACATATTTTATTTGGATGACCCTGTCTGTCTCCTAGCATTCCTAAATCTACTTTTGACAAGTACAACTTCGTTGGAGAAGTCTTGGATTCAAAATCAACCTGAAATTCCCCATCCCCACTACCTCTGGTGAGAAAGAAGCAAGCAGCAGTTTCAATTATAAGTCTAATTTGGGTCCAACATAGGCAACTTTCCTACCCCCCTCCCACCACCTGCCCCAAGAAAGCTCACTTTCTGTCGCTGAGCACTAATAAAGAAACCTCTGCATCTGCTAACTCACAAGAAATGACAGATTTGAAGTTAAGTCAAATTAAATAATAATGACTACCACTAATTAAGTGCTTGCTACACTGTTTTAAGAGCTTGACTCATATTGATTTATGTAATCAACCCAACAACTCTCTGAGATGGGTACTATTATTACCTCTGTTAAACTGAAGATGAAATTGAGGTTTAGGGATATTAAATATCTCACCCAAAGTCACACAACCAGTAAGTGGTGGAACAGGAATTCAGGCTCTGATATTCAGGACCAGAAATGGAGTCCCTAGCAGCCCTGTCGGCAGAGGTAGGCAGCCTGTTTTGGAGGGCATCTTCCTTCTGGTTAAACAGAGCCAGGCAGAGGGTTTTATCCTGGCTGCCGGGTGTGGGGAGCCTGGTAAATGCTGTTAAACATTTGTACATGGGAATATGCCTAGGCCTCCAAAGATAGCATAGTGTACATGATACTGAGATAGAGTTCTGGAAGCTATTGTCTACTGACCTCATCTACCAGAATCAGGGGCTGTAACCTCACAGGGTAATGATGAACTACTTGCTTTCACTTGTTGAATTCCTTTGCAAAGGGTTGTGAGGGCCAGAGTCCACTAGCATACTTGGAGATTAAGAAAGGGACTTCTGAAGGTCACTAGTGTATAAGGACACTGCCATTACCCCAGAGCTTCATGGCATGGAAACACAATTTGTAGGATACCCTTCATTCCTTTTCAGATTGCAAATGAGAATCTTAGACCTGGAGGGAAATGAAAAATCCTCATGGGAACTGAACTGGAACTAGTACCCAGGTCTCTTGAGGGGTCTGTAGTACTTCTCCTCAGCCAGGGTCTTACCAGGGAGTGAGCGAAGGACAGAAGTGGGGCAGGAGGAAGGGAAGGGGAAATGCACACACATCTGACGGAACCAGCATGTGTCAAGCCATACATTCCCATTGGCAAGTCAGTAATACATGGTGTTAATTACCTCTGGCACAGACAGGAGCTGGAGGACCACCCAAGGGGCCTGCCTTTCCTCCTGCCATTCCAGTTTGCCTGAGGTTCCAGGGTCGGTGGGACACCAGTTCACTTCCGGCTCCAGAATTGAAGGTTTCCCTGGAGGCACCGGGGCTCCACAGCCATGTTTAGGGGCACACAGGTCTCTAATCCTTCCCTTTCCACTTCCTCAGCATTTCTTGGCCTGTCACACCGACTGCAGTGAGGATCCAGGGGAACTTGAAAAGGAAAAGCAAGAGCCAGGAAGAGCAGAGTTTGCTTGTGGGCTGTGTAACTTGTTGATTGACTGATGGTGGGGTACATACACCTTAATGTGACTCCTGCTTTTGCTTGGGGGAGGCTGAATGGCTAAGGGGACAGGGGTCAAGGGTCACCCTGTTCTACTTCCCCCACATTGCCCTGAGCAGCCCGGTACTCCCAAGAGACTGCTTATGGTCTCACCCACAGCTCTCCTCCAAGTCCTCTTCCCACAGCATGTAATTTGGGGGCTCTTCTTTTCTGGACGTCCTTGTTCTCCCTTTCAGCCATGCTTGCCACCACATGGCTGATCTAGATGATCTTGTTTCTTGGAGCTCACAGAGGCCACCGGGGATATCCCCAGCACCTAACTGCTCGTGTGCTGTGCTGTCGGGCACTATGGCAGAAAGTTCTCAGCTCCATCATGTCATCAGCACTCCTACCTCCTCTTTGTTTCCACATCATATCTAATCCCTTTGAAGAAGACTTGTCTTTCTGTCTCTCTGGCTTGGTCTCTCTCTTGCTCTCCTTTGGTTCTGTAAGAGGTAAAGGGACAGAGAGGTCAAGGTCAGGGATAAATATAGTGAAACATGAGGCAGTCCTTGGTTCTCAGAATTCTTTCTCAAGGAAGAGTGAGTGACTTGGCCAGAAAGGGACTGAGTGGTATTTTTTGTTTGTGCTTTCTTTTTCTTACCCCGAGCCTAGGGCTTTAATAACCTTAGAAGTCTTTGGAGAGTAGTCATCCAGATGTTCGTGGGTTACTGTAGCTCAGAAGTGGTCCAGTAACTAGATTTCAGAGCTAGATTTCTGGAAGACAGGGACTCAAGAGTCTAAGGCTGAGGCGGGACCTCAGCTTCCGCAAGGCTGCCTGTGTTGTTCTGGGTCCTCCTGCCTCACCCACTTGGCACTCAGGGCTGCAGCTTCTTCCTGCTGACTAAATGAACGTGATGTCTTGATTATAACAGAAACTCTTGTGACTTGGTCAAGCCTCCTCCCCTGTTCTGGTCACAGCATGTGAAGCTGCAGGTATTGGGGGTGTACCTGCTATTCCCAGGATAGAAAAGGGCAAAGGTGAGGAGATACTGCAGAGCCGAAATGGCAGTGTGCAGGGGAAGCCCCCAAACCCATCTTTGATTCCATTGCTTGTGGACCTCTGTTTTGAAGGAGGACCCCAGAATGTGGCTTCAGCCTCATGGAATGAGCTGGAAGACATCTGCCTCCTTGAAGAACTGCTGATCTTTAGGAAGGTCGGAGGAGGGGATGGGGTTGCTGGGAGAGACTCAGGTGAAAGTCTTATCAAATTGCTGCCAGCAGGGGGCACTCTTTCCAGAGTTGGCGCAGAGCAGGTCTGCCCTCAGGGGAC